AATGTATTGGATGATGATATTTGCATCAGTATGCTTGCTGCAGTCATTTTTCAGTTGGTGATATATGTATCCATTTGTATTCATCGCAAACCCAAATGCACGCATGTAATGGCAATGCTCGCCAAAGGCAAATTTATAGTTGCTGTTTGCACACAATTATTATTAATGTACTCTTTTCGCGTTCTCCCAAATGCGCTCTATGAAGTGGTTTGTTGATGAATCGAACGAACGGTTTTGGGCATTCATCTTTCTGAACAATCATCCATTGTTCACTGATTCAAATTCTCTATTCAACGACCGTAATTGAAATCTAATTGCGTTTTGGTGATTTTTTTGTGCTTGAGATTAGTTCAGAATTTCAAGGGATTGACAATTTGTTTGAAAAGTCTAAATCTGATCAACATAGTGGGTACTGTGCAAAAATTAGTCCAATGTCGTTGTATACAATTGGTTATCGTTTTATCGTCAATATCGTTTATGCAAATTGTTCAAAATTTGCGTAACTTCCTTCACAATCAGTGTTATTAGAAGAACTGAATACGATCGGAAAATGTTTGAATATTGTAGTTGACGAGTACGGCCGACTTTCATTATTTGAGGAATACGTTCGTTGCAGTGATGCAGAACCTTAAGACGCGATTCTTGATGAGTTGAAGGTGATTGAAAGTTTTATGGAAGATGATTGCAGAAGAAAGAATATTCGGATGCGTATCGTCGTGCCGAACAATTGGTTGTTTATGTGCGAGCGTTACATATGCTGTCGTCGGCTCTGCTTCTGGCGCAAAAGCAAGTCAGTGCAGAGGCATTACATCCATCACCGGCTGTGCAACATGTTCTGAATCAGTTGAATGACAAATATCATCAGTGTCTGGTTCGTTAATCTCTATTCATTGCTCTTGCTGTGTAATGAAGCAGTTTCTGAAGCGTTTATGAAAACGAATCATTCAGATGCGTTCTCAAGAACTGGCATCTTTGGGTTTGCCGGCAGCAGATCCAGCAATGGCAGTGATATCAGCCGAACGCATCATGTACAAGCATGCGATTGATTTATGTCAGAGTGCTGCATTAGATGAACTCTTCGGAAATCCTCATCTTTGCTCACAACGGTATTTTTCACGCTTCATTTCACCCATTCTCATTTCACCCAATTTGAATTTCGAGTGACTTCGTTAAGCTCAATTCATTTCAAAGCGAATATCAACCAGTTAATCTGAAATTTCATTATTCATTAAAATTAATGTGAAATGGTTTGATGTATGCCATCAGGTTACACTGTAACAAGTTCAGGTATCAAACAGCTTATATGATGTTGCATACACTCTCTGAACAAGTATCCAGTGAATCCGATAAAATGATCCTCTCCAAATACAAAACCGCTGTCGAGAAGCGTTTGAGAATTCTCGAGAAGCAGGGCCTCGTTCAAGCGATAAGTACTACGTAGAACGTTAGTGTTGCGGTGTGAATGTTACCAATTCCGATGGTTTTCATTCATGTGTCTGTTTGTGATTGCAAAGCGAATGTTATTTATCGCTTCATTTATCCAGTCAAAGATAGCTCATTCCTTCTTCTCTCACAAAAACATTCCATTCCGTCTTCTTGCTCACGTTCAGATATCTGTTCTGATATCTGAGGGCTGTGTGAATGTACTCTATTTTTCAACATTCAAGAATATCGAGTTCGAGTCCTCAATCGCCTGAAGATCCCCAATTAGGAATCTCTTCTTTTGTGTTACAAAGCGGTATTATTCTCAATGAGGACCAACAGTCATATGTCAGGAGTGAGCTATTTTTTATAATTTGGCAAATCTTCTTCTCATCTGGTCGAACGGCAGCAATTCTTTATATACATATTCACAACTTCAAAATGTTATGTTCATGTCAACTGTGGATAGTCTTTATGTCTGTCGCTGTTCTCATTGTTCATTATTTAAAGTTTTAATTTGATATCGTTATTATTCCTCATCACAGAGTTTCTCATTTCTGTTTTTTGTCATATTTCCATTCGGTGTTTTGTTTGTTGCATTGTAACCGATTGTATTATTGTTCATTATGGCATTTAATGTCAGTTGATTTGTGTAGTCATTTGATCTTTGCTGTATTATAAATATAACAGGTTTATTAAATGATTGGATGAAATGATGAAACTCGATGTCAAAAATTTCATTGATATCGCAATTGATATGGTGTTATTTAGTGCGGTAGGCGATTGATATAGATCAATGAACAATAGAGTCTGACAGGGCAAAAACTGTACTCGATGCTTCGATATAGTTAAACTCAGTTGTATCGTTCATGGTCCTCGACTATTACAACTAAGGCGGTGTAATTTGGCTTTTACTACTTAAAATACCGTTTTGAAGATTATGATTTTTGCATTTCTGAATCGGCGACGTGAAACGTACCAAGTTGACAAACGCACAAATCTTATTGCACTCATTTCTGATTTAATTTTTTATATTGTTCATGAATATGCTTCTGAATTTTCTTTCAAAGGAAAATTCTTTGGAGATTGATCATTGATTACGATACTTTTATTGGGGAATGAATGAAAATGCGTTTGATTAATTGAATTATGACTGTTTTCGCTTTGTTGTCAGACCATTCAGACCGTTGGGATTTAACTAATCTCAAGAGGATGTAATTTGAACGCAGATTCCGTTCTTCCGTTGTCCTCCGTCCCCTTTGATTTGTTTCGATAAAAATTCAATCGCTTTTTTGAATTTTCAAGTTATCGTTTGATTGCTTTCTCAAGCCATTCAATCAGGAAACATTTTAGGAATGATCATATTGCAAACATTAAAGGAACACATCCCGAACGCGATTTTATCATTCGCCATTGAGCATAATTGGCCTATGATAATGCCGTTATTAGAGGGTTATTTGGTCGTAAAAGATTTTCGAACTGCTGAAAACAGTCAATAGCACGAATATATGCCACGAATCCATCCGACTGTTTCCGACTGTTCGTTCTTCGTCATATTCTTAGTTGTTTTTTGTAGAGTTTCGTCGTTGCTACGAATATTGTATTCTGTTTAAAGGTGTCTCGTCCAACATCTATGGGGAAACTTCCAGTTGAATAAACCTGTTCCGAAAACTGATTTCAGATGTGTAGATGTGAGTTACGTTCACGAATTGGAGATTTTTTGAATGTACATTTTAATGAATATATTATTATTGCAGCGAAATAGATCCAACTGATTTCATAGACAACCTTCTTTTCATTTGTGGTTTAATTTTTGATTACAGTGACGAACAGAGCTGTTCACGTATTCAAAAATTCCTTGCCGATTAACAGAACCACGTCAATATAAGTAGGCGCTTCTCTTTATTAACGTATTTATTCATTATAGTTGTTTTTTTTTTGTGTAGAGTTTCGTCGTTAATTTATACCTAATTGAATTGAATTTTATATTTAATATAAAATTTAATTTTTGAATTGAATTTTTTCTATTCATACTTATCGTTAATTAAATTAAATTTTATACTTAATTTATAATTTAATTTTTGAATTGAATTTTTGATAATCATACTTAATTGAATTCATTCTTGATTTTGCTTTTCGGGTTCCATCTGAATTTATCAATTTATCTTTGTTGTTGTGTTACCGTTGCATTCATTCACTATTTGGATATGTTTTTGTTTTTCTTAACGTTTCGATACATTTTTCAATTTTCTTCGATTTTTCTAAAATTGGTTCTCGTAAAATTGAATCGGATTTTGGCAGTTTTCAATAATTGTTCGTAGAAAAGTCACTCGGTGATTGTTGAGTGACGATCGTTGATGGTTGTTAGTATGCTGAATGAGCTGTTCATCCATTATGAATTAAGCGTGCGTGCTTTGCAAATCGCTTTTGACACTCGTTCGTTTGCCAATATCGTTCGTTTGTAATTACTTTCGATTTTGTGAATTCGTGCTCTCGTCAAACTGCACTCACTGCTCGTATGTTCATTCATCTGTTCTTGTGATGCGTTTCGAAAGCACAATATTTGTAAACTAATTGTTTCTCATATTATTCCATATTTTTAAACTAAATTCTGATCATTATTTAACTCTGAAATTTATTTCTCATTTGACTTCCTGTCAACTGAATCCTTTTTCATGGTTGTTTTGTTCGTGAAGATCAAATTTTTACAATGATTTCGTTATTATTTTCATTTATTGTTGTTTTCTACTGCTTTATAAGTCAAAATTACTTCGAGAATTTGATACTGACGAGAAATTAATCGCAGTTACTCGGATCTTTAATTTGCTTATGACATCTATGTTAGCTAAACTATGTGAGCAGTGGTAATTTGAAATTAGAGAGCTGAGCACGTGCTGGTGCTTTCGAAGGTTTAGTATTCAGATAAATGAGGTGGACATGGAACTATTAAACTTGAAATTCTCAATTTTGGCTTTGTTGCTTGTATTATCGAGATACAATGCTAATAAGTACCATCTAGATGTTATTGTCACTCAATAATCCATTATCAATAAANTCTAAAGAGCAGCACAATCAGTTGCGTAAACATAAGGATTTGTGAAATTTTATCATTGAATGAATCAAAATGAAGCAATTCAATAAGAGAACTTTCATCCATACAAACGGACGGTAACACGCGACAAACTCAAACGACAGTAACCACCAATATTGGCGACTTGTTGAAGACAATAACAAAAATCTACAAGTATAATCATATAATTCAAATCTCAAGCGGCAAAATGATGACAAAAGAAATCGAGTGAATTGATGTAAAGAGATGATATAATTACAATTGAAAACACTATCGTAATGAAACAAAGCAAAATGACTGTATTTGCGAAGAGTAACAACATGAAATACTAATGCAAATATATTGGCGTATAATAAAAGCTTTTTCCTTATAATTACAAATAACGATGATAAAAGTCAAGCAGAATGAAATTATCTATATTTGAATAAAGATAAATTGTCATCAAAACATGAGTATACAAACAAATAAATAGCTAAGGTGTACGTCGTTGCATAACCACAAGAGCATTATGAACAGATGAACCCCGTTACCAGAGGGGTTTCTTAAAAATAAAGGAATGAAAGTGCGATAGTGAAACGAAGTGGCCCGGCGGAGGCAGCTGCATAATATGGTTGAACAATAAGTGTCGTGAATGACTAAAATTAAAATTCCGATATCAACTAATTATGACTATTTCCGAACGGATTTCCTTAAGCGGTATTGCAGCAACGATCAAGTAAATTTCTAAACAGATAACAAATCACAGTCTGGAATTCAAGAGTGTTTGCGGTATTCGGCAAGAGGCTTTATTGATCCATCGTTATATGCTCGCAAAATCGACTCACATACAAATGTGTACTGACCCTGAAATCCCATAGCAATTTTAGCACTTGTCATAAGTGGAATGAATGAATCTTCCTGAAGTCGACATAAATCAGAAAGAGCACAAAAATCTAGTGATTCCAAGGTTTTTGTACCGCTCTATTCGGTTTATTTTGCTGCATCATTTGTGGCTGTATTCTTCGTTTGAACATAGACCTTGTTCTCGAACAGATCATAAGTCTGCTAAGAAACAGAACAGTTACCGATGTCTGAATGAGCATGGCACGTTGGTCACGCATTGTTCGAACAATGTCAAGTGGATAAACAGGCTCATTTGCTTCAACCAGACACGCTGCCGTTTCCATAAGGATTAAAACACCCGTACGGCCAATACCCGCACTACAGTGCACCACAATTGGATCCACAGAACCGACCCGTGCACGACGTACCTGCAAGAAATTAATGATGCGATGCGAGGCATGCGCTTTGCTCTTTTTGCACTTCTAAGGTAACAATAGTTGGTTGTTGCTACCCAGAGTACTTACGATATAAGAAGCCAAAGATTTCATTATGAGGTTTCGACATTGACTGTAAAGGAACATCTAGGTTCCGTTTTGTTTTCATTC